ATATTAACTCATTATCACTTTAATTTAGAAATTTTCTTCCTTTTTTTTTTTTTTGTTAATGAAATTTTAATTCCTTCCGAATAGATATAGTAAATGAATAAAATTGTCTATTTGACAAGAGTACTTTAGTTTTCTTGACAAGATTTCATGTAACAAGATCATCCCAAGAATATGGCCAAATAAAAAATAAATCATCCCAAGAATAAGTGATCAAATCAACAAATGAAAACTTGAGCCAAAAAATCTCCAAAGATTCCTAGTTGAATTAGTAAAATCTTCACAAAATATACAAAGATACAAACTTTCCTTCAATTTTCTTCAAGAAGAATTATTATCTTCTTCTCTCTTTTTTTTTTTTAAATGAAATCAATTATCAAAATCTTTCCCAGCACTTAAACACCTAATTTTTTAAACTGCAGCCTTGAAATAAAAGTGGTACAGCAGAGAACCTGTCCAGTACTGTATTGATGCTCACCCCCAGTTGTGATCAAAAGGGATCTCTTTGAACATAAATTCCCTCACATTTAAGAAAATAAATACCCTTTGGATTTTACCAAAGAACAAATTCTGCAGGCTGTTATGAGACCAATGTAGAATCATTTCCAATGCAGACAATATATGCTTCAGTTGATCAAGAAACAACCATAACCTGAAATTCAGTTCATCTGCAGTTCTGCCTCATGGTTAGGGCTGAAAAAATGCCAACTTGAATCATGAAATGCTGGAAAATAATCATCTGAAACTGTCTTGATTCTGAATTCAACAGCGAATTTTCGAGCAGCTAAGATGTGCATAGCTGAATTAACAATAGATGGGTTCTTAAACATTGAGACATTCTGCTCATATGTCTCGAAGCTGTTCCCAAATAACAGCATATGGTTCAATGACTCTGGAGTCCAATTCGCCTTTAAAAGATTGTTGTACAGCACTGCCTCACAGTGTGGCATAAAAAAAAGTGTTGGCTTCAGAACATGTCGCTTACCTTGCTCATTTACTGACAGGACAGAACAACCAAACTCCTCCAAGACACAAGATTCTGTTGCAGAAAGAATTGGATCAAAGACCTCTATGTCACCTATCCAGCTGAACCTTCTTTTCATCAAAATTGCTAGGCTGAGCTGAAATCTAGGGGCTTCATATGATTCAATACTGCCAATGCCATATATAACCATCTTCAATTTCAATTCAGAACCCAAAACCCTTCGAAAGGAATTCAGGACTTCTGGAGTCTGCATTTGATCCAAGAAAGTAAGATAAAATTGTGAGCCCTCAATCCTCTTCATACAGATCTGCATCTTCTTGATTAGCTTTGATTTTGTATCAAGATCAATTTGAAGATCTGTTGGAACCCATGGCCGTTCTTGTTCTTCCATTGCTGTTACCTTTGGGATATTCTTTTTTTTCCTGCCACGGCGAGGTAAAACAACTGTCCAGTCCCCATTTTGGGTATGATTCTCAACGGTGAAAGGTTTTACAGAAGCTGCCATAGCAGATGACAGAAGCTCTCTCTTATCTTCTAGAGTCCTATAAAATACAACCAAACTGAACCCTTGATTAATCAACAGGTCAAACTAGTGGCTTGTGCACAAGGGGAGGAGCTTACATGTACTTTGCAAAACCCTTTCTTTCAGAATTAAAGAAATAGTTGACACTTATTATCATTAGCACGGCCACAGACGCTCAACACGGGGGATAAAAACATACAGGAGCAGAAAAGAAGGATGTTAATGTAAATATGTAATTTATGAAGGATGACACCAAAGGAATAGCATATTTAACATTTATAAAACCTCAGAAACAATTTATTGATACCATGAGAAAAAGAACAGAAAACAATTCCTGTTACTGGATTTATATCCTACAAAAATCAAAGGAATTTTTTGAAAAAACATTGAAATATTATCCCTTGATATTAGCAGTAAAGGATAAAGTAAGGGAAGCAGACTTGGCATCAACTAGCAAAGCAAAGGGTCCAAAGGCTAACAAGTCTGACTTTAGTTAGCATAAATAAATTAAAACGATATAGACAAATTACAGTAGCTGAAGATCAATTGACAAACGAACTTTACAGCCATGTCAAAATTCATTTCAAACAATGCCTTTAAACTTTAAAGCATGTTAAAATTCATTTCAAACCATGCCATGGGTGTTGAGACTTCAAGGTATCTGCTAGTTTTCAATCAGGAAATTAAAAATTGTAAAGCTAATGCCGAAACTTCATGAATGCTTGGTTTCATGAACCATCTACGAATCTAAAGTCTGATGCATATAAAGGGTTCCTCGTAAAACTTGAAAACATTACCATGTATTAAAAAAGAAAAATGTAAAGCTACCAATTCGAATTGGTAAGTTTAGAGTAGAACTGGGCCTTACATTTATCATTTCACCCTGACAAGTATAAACTTGTTCAGCTAACCTCTCACACTGCTAGACATCATTCCACATGCAATTGACACAAAAAATAAAAAATTAATTCTTAAAATTTCCTTCTTTGTTGCTATTGCAGAATATAATGTAACTTCTTAAAAACCCAAACGATTGGAAACTGCCATTGCGTAACAAAGCAAATCTCAATTAAGAAGGAATTATAGCACAAGAAAACACAAAACCCTAAATTTTCACTTCCTCTTACTAACAATCAACAACAATATCGATAAAGAAAATTTAGGTTAAAGAAACCCACGAAATTCAATCTGCAGAAACCAATCATTATCCCTCGAATTAACGAAAACCCAATTCTTTTTATGGACAGAAAAACTCAAACCCAAAAGGGAAATCGCAAATATCATGCTTCGATTACGAGTTCGGAATGTAAAAAGAAACTCATAGTGAGAGCGAAAACGTCAGAGAGAAAACAATAGGCAGAAGGTACCTCTGAGAAGACTATTGTGAGGCTGGTTACGAGCGGGAAGAGAGAGTGGAAGTCAGATCTGCCACCACAGTGGTGTTCTTCACCGTAGCCGGTAGGTTTAGAGTGGTGATCGTACAGACGCGCGCAAGCGCATCCATGGTAACCCTCCTCTTTATAGCATTTTTTTTTTCTTTTATTTTGGCGGTACCATAATTTTTTTTAAGCCTTTTGTAGTTTTTTAAGTTTTTTAAAAAGCTCATTTTAAAAATAATAAATTATTATATTTTTATTTAATTTAATTAATTTTTTATGTATTTTATTTTTAACAGAATAATTAACATTTTATATATTTTTTGAATAGTATATAAAAAATAAACTCATAAATAATTATAGTAGAACACAATACATTAGAGATAAAAAAAAAAAAGCAAAAAATAAATTTTTTTGTAAGTTTAGATATGGATATCGTGTTCCGTTCCCCCATATTGGGAATAATTATATTAGTTTTTTAAGATATGGATTTTTTTTAGCTCATTAGTTTATTTTTATAAGCTTTTTACATAAATTTATAAATAATAAACATTTAAATGTTAAAAAATAATTTTTCCTTCTAGACATTTAAAAATATAATTATAGTACAATGCAACTCATTATCACTTTAATTTAAATTATTTTATTTTATTTTTATAAACAAAACTTTATTTTCCTTTTAAATTAGTATAACAAATAACAACGATATAAATTATTTAATGATTATTTTTTTTATTGAAAATAAGAGATTTTAAATTTGAATTGCATAGTATACGAATAAGATAAAATAAAAAATAATTACATTTTATTGTGCAATTAAGATAAAATAAACAAAAATATAAAAAATAAATTAAAATGTTTATTTGACAAGAGTTTGTTAGTTTTTTTAACAAAATTTCATGAAACAACTTCTCAAGAACATGGCCAAATTAAAAAAACAAAAATTCATACCAAGAATAAGTGATCAAATCAACAAATGAAAACTCTAGACCAAAAAATATCCAATGATTCCTACTTGAATTATATTCTTCAGATAAATGTACAAAGACACTAACTTTCCTTCAATTTTCTTCGAGAAGAATTAATATTCAAGAGTCAGTGATTATCTCGGGGCCAATGATAC